TCTGGATTTACGACATCGTCCGAAACAGCTGGTAAGTGGGAGATCTCTGTCTCTCTGTCTCTCTCTGTCTGTCTCTCTCTCTNGTCTGCCAGTTTGAACTGAGGTAACGGAATGTGAGGCAACTGGCAGTTGGAACAGAGTTCTTTTCAGGTGGGGAGGAGGAGTAGAACTCCTTAGCATCAGAGCGTGTTAATTACGGGATAAGAAATACTAATGATCTGATGGTCGTTTCAAAAAAGCCTTTCTTGTTGAGCACCTAGAAGCCGAGAGGAACATACGTACCGAATTTCAATTTTGTAGGCTTTACGGTTCTGGATATTTTGGGGGTTTCCTCTCTCTTTTACACCTCTTGTGTTCAGGAAGCAGCAAATCTAAACAGGAGGCAAGGCAGAACATTTGTGTTTTTGTTTTTCTCCCCGAACATCTGAGTCACATGCGGCTTTTTCCCTGGCTCATGCTGCCTCTGGTGTTTGTGCTGTCGAGAACTGCTTAGTCACACCGTGGTGTGTGTCACCCCCTCCTCCTCCTCCTCCTCTCCCCCCCCTTTAGAATTTGAATCAAGCTTGGAGGGGGGAAAAAAAACAGGATTAGCAAGATCATGATGGCGTTAGGCTGCCCTCGGCATATGAATTTGGAAAGGATGTTCGGTGTGTGTGTGAGAGAGAGAGGGGAAGGAGGAAGAGGAGGAGAAGAAGAGGAGGAGGAGGGAGAAGAAGAAGAAAGAAGAAAAGGAGAAAGGAGAAGAAGGAGAAAGAAGAAAAGAAGAAGAAATATGGAGGAGAGGAGAGATATGGAGGAGGGGGGGAAAGAAAGAGATGAGGAAGAGAGAGATGGAGGAGGGGAGAGGGAGGGAGAGAAAGAGAGAGAGATGGAGGAGAGTGAGAGAGAAATTAAGGCTGGGGGAGCTGGCACAGGAGTGGGTACCAGTGGGATGTGTATCTTCCTGCCTCTGAACCCCCAAACATCTTGACTGGATACGAGACACAGGTTGCTGTTCCTCTCATCTCGCCCCCCCCCCTCTCAAAACTGTAAAATGATCCCAGGAGGAGAAGAAGAGAGAAAATGAGAGCAAGGCCGCCAGATCACATGCCGGTGACACATGCCAGCCGAAAGGCCGGTTGCCGTGGGAAACGGGAGCAGGCCCTGCTCTGTAAACACCAGAACAGCCAATTATTTGATTACGCTTTGATGGGGATTAATGTGAGGTCTTCGGCCTTCCCCTTGTGGCCATCCAGGCGGCTGNGTGAGGCAACTGGCAGTTGGAACAGAGTTCTTTTCAGGTGGGGAGGGGGAGTAGAACTCCTTAGCATCAGAGCGTGTTAATTACTGTATAAGAAATACTAATGATCCGATGGTCATTTAAAAAAAAAACCCTTTCTTAGAGAGCACCTAGAAGCCAAGAGGAACATACTTGCCAAATTTCAAGTTTGTAGGCTTTACGGTTCTGGAGATTTTGTGATGAGCGAGTGGTACTTGGCTTTATATTGGCCAAGACAATCTCATATCCATTGCTTCTTGTTCCTGCCCTTCAGGTGCTTTGGAGAATTAAAATCAAGCCATCCCATACAAGAGCCAAGCTTTCGCCACGGCCCCCTTGCAAAACAGTGAAGTTTCCCTCCGACTTTAAAGGAAGAGCATTATAAAAATAGCCCGCCACCTTCCTGTTTTTTTTTTTGTTTGTTTTGTTTTCAACTTCCCAGCCGGCACTCAAGGTTGGGGATTTCCTGGTGTTTCCCTGGTTGACTTTCGGAATTCAGTTTTGCCTTCAGAAGGATCCGTTTGTGGTCTCTTCGTTTTTCTGAGATCAGCCAACTGTGGTTTTTTGCTGCCATCTTCTGCCCACCTAACACATCTGTACATCCAATGGAAATGGAAGAGGAGGAGGGGGAAAGGATAATAATACTGATTTAAAAAACAACAACAGTAGCTTCGCAGTACAACTGATAAACACTTAGCCTCTGATAAGCCAGATGTGATTGTCGCTACCAAAGAGCAAATGTAGAAAATGTGTTGCAAATATATAAAAGATTGAAAAGACAGAGGTAAATGATTTGTTTAAGTTAGTACAGGGACCTAGGACCACAACTGACACCAAAATTTCTGTAGTTAAGTAAGACGTTTGTTGGGTGAGTTTTACGACTTTTCTTGTCACAGGAAGGAAGGAAGGAAGGAAGGAAGGAAGGAAGGAAGGAAGGAAGGAAAGGGTAGGGGAAGGGAAGGGAAGGAAAGGAAGGGAGGGGAAGGGAAGGGAAGGGAAGGGAAAGGATAGGGAAGGATAGGGAAAGGAAGGGAAGAGGAGGGGAGGGGAGGAGAGGCAAGGGAAGGGAAAGGGAAGGGTAGGGAAATGAAGGGAAGGGTAGGGAAGGAAGGGAAGGGAAGGATAGGGAATGGAAAGGAAGGAAAGAGAAGAGGAGGGGAGGGAAGGGAAGGGAAGAGAAAGGAAAGGAAAGAAAGGGAAAGGAAGGGAAAGAAAGAAAGAGAAAAAAAAGAGCAAAAGAGCAAGAGAAAGAAATAATTAAAGAAAGAAAGAAAAGAAAAGATTCAGGTTTATCCCAATGCGACGTTTATTTGAATAGAGCTCGTTTGCAGCTATGCCAAGCCCCAAACACACATCGGTTATTTTTCTTTTAAATTGCCCTGTTTTTGCCCACCTACAAAGTGCCAGGATCCCGCTGATTTTACTCCTCAGACGAGGATTTATTGCCTCGCTTCCTTTCCCAGTTCTGAACTTGGTTTTGGCCGTCGGTCAAAGAAAATATTTTTCGGGAGGCAGGGTTGACGTCAAGAGCCTCGGGGTGACTGCCTGGCCAAATGCGAAAACCGTGTTTTGGTTTCTCCCAAGAGGGAGATGAACGAGGGGAGTTCATCTAGATATAAAAATTACAAAGAGAGAGAAAAGCAAGTGGAGGGGCAGCTCCTTGCAATGGGTTTACCAGGGACGACCAAAAAAAAGAAAAAAATTGCCCTGCATTTGCACAACGTTTTTCTCCTTATAATTTTAAGCACAGCAAAGCAGACTCTGTGGATGTACAGAATTATTTCAGGCTGCAGATTGGGAATTGGCTGAGCCCCTGAAAAATGGAAATAATCCCCGTGTGTAGAAAATAAAAGTGTCAGGGGAATGATGGCCATTTTTCTGATGACTAGCTTTCTGTATGCAGGTTTTTTTAAAAAAAACATAAGGTAAAGGTTTCCCCTCGCACATCTCTGCTAGTCATTCCCGACTCTAGGGGGCAGTGCTCATCTCCGAAGAGCCAGCGTTGTCCGAAGACGTCTCCGTGGTCATGTGGCCGGCATGAATCAATGCCTGAAGGCACACGGAACACTGTTCCCTTCCCATCAAAGGTGGTCCCTATTTATCTACTTGCATTTTTTAACGTGCTTTCGAACTGTTAAGTTGGCAGAAGCTGGGACAAGTCACGGGAGCTCACTCCGTTATGCGACGCTGGGGATTCAAACCACCAAACAGTGGTGGGTTTCAATTTATTTTACTGATCTTGGTGGTTTTCGTGCAGGCATTTCATTACCCAGCTAGGTAACATTAACAGTGCTAGATGGGAGGAGGAAGAGAAGGAGGAGGAGGATTATTGTAGGGTTCTTGCTGCTCTCTGAGCTTGGTTACTTTCTTTTAGATGTTTCGTTACCCAGCTAGGCAACGTTATCAGTGCTTGAAGGCAGGAGGAAGAGGACTGTAGGTTCCTTGATGCTCTCTGAGCTCGGTTGCTTTCTTGCAGCCATTTCGTGACCCATATTAGGTAACGTCATCAGCACAGCGTTGGAAAGGACCTCGGTGGTCTTCTTATCCGAAGCAAGGAAACCCTACCTGCATCATTTCAGACAAATGGTTTTCCAGCCTCTTTAAAAAAAAAAAAACCAGTGATGGAGAACTCACAACTCTGAGAGGCCAGCCGTCCCATCGGATATCTTCTCTTGCCAAAAAAGAAAAAGGAGGAAATTCGTATTTACCTCAAGCAGAGAAAGCAAAAGCTTTAAATANAGCTTGGTGGTTTTCTTGCAGACTTTTCACTACCAAACTAGCCAGAGAGTTGGGGTTTGCTCTTAACTCACGAAAAACACCAAGCTCAGAGAGCATTGAGGGCCCCACAGTTCAGCCCTTAGCTACAAATATTCTCCTTTATCAGAAATAAGTTTGTCTGTACCTAATCAACGTGTGTGTGTGTGTGTCTGTGCGCCTGTGCACATATATGTTTTTATTTCAGACAAAGTAAGTCACTCCCTAATTTGTTTTGCTTCAGAAATAGAACATGGCACGGAGTATTTGGATCGCCTCGTGGCTGAGAAGGTGTGTGTACATTTTCTCTCCCGGAGCTGTTCGGTTTACTTGAGCTAATCTGGTTTATAAAAGGGAGGAGAAATGGGCTTTATAGAAGAAAGTTCATGGAATAGGTTATCTGGCGTTCACAGCAACTGCTCCAGCTTGGAAACTGAGGGCGGGGACAGCAGAGGAGCGAAAGGTTTGAAAAGATTAGAAAAAAGAGGAGAAAAATACATTGACCTATTTTTTGGGGGGGCTGAATAGGCAGGCAAATTATTTTTTTTAAACAATTTCTGGCCAAGAATCGGGGCACCAAAGTTGAATCGGGGATTGTGACAGCTGCTGTTGATGGAGAGACCTAAATGGGAGGTTGGGGGGGGGGGAGAATAACACCTCAGAAACGGCCGCTAGCTGAGATACGGTTAGGTAGATTAAATAAAAATACGAAAATGAAATTTTCTAAGCAGGGAAATATATTCAGAACGCTTTAAAAACGAAGCAGCAACACCATCATCCCATCCATTAGACGTTGGTTCAAATACCATCCTGTGAGTTCTTTTTTTCCCCCCCTGATATTATTTTTATTGCATAGACAACACATACACACAACAATGAAAAAACAAAAACACACACAACCCACCCACCCCATCATCACATACACATACAGCATGTCGTTTGGTTACAAGTGTTTTAACATTTATCATTCTTATACATTTATTATTTC